CCCTTTGCACAATTGCATTCTTTAGGTGTCTACGACATGTAGCGGTCGGGGAAGGCTCTTCCCGGACGGAAACTCGAGATGTGTTGTCTTCGTAAACTGTACCTTATGCAAACTTCTGCATCATATGAATGGGTGCGGCTTATACTAACAAGTAAGGTCGACACACACCTCACTGCTTTAGTATGATCACTAGTCTCATTCAGTCCTTCATACTATCCTCTGTTAAATTTTATTCCAAGAATATCCCCTTTTCACCAATATAGCTCTAGGCCTTCTTTTATATATATTGTAAACCCAACTCCAGATTTTGAGATCATCACTAATATAAATTTAGTCTTTTTAGAGTGGCTATAATAATTGAAAACATATTCTGTGCTCTCACACTTCTATACATTGCCCGTCATCGCTTGTTCTAGACATTTGCCCGAAAGTTGGTGATTGATATTTAACCGTAACCTGTTGGCATCTCTTTTGTGTTAGTGCATATATTTTCGTAGGAGCAGGCTTCTATCGTGATGTTTATTAGTATGCTAAAGAAAACACTTTTTAATGGAGGACGAAAAACAGTCCTACGGTATGTTAGGAAGACTTTCAGACTCTAACCATCTGTTACTTTCTTCTAACGGATTGGTTTTGAAAAATAATCATCTTTGTTAGATATTAGCCAAGGGACATGAATATTTGGTTTTATACCGGCCATAGCAACAGCAACAATCAATGAGTGAAACAAAGCAATGGAATCCATGATTTATCACTTTGCCGGTGCCCATAAAGGGAAAGGAAATATCATCACCTGAAACCATATTGGGAGGTTACGCAAGTAGCAACTTGTGATCTACTCTGTTGCTGTCTCTATGGGTTGGACAATTATAGTTAAAAATTTGTTTTCCTTTTTAGTTAATGTAACCACCTGGCTCCTCGTTTTGTGTATTGTAAACATTACTAGACTCATTCGACAAAAGTGAGTTTTTGACTGTGCTGGGAGAATGGGAGAGGTGAATACGAGGGGATGTTAGCTGGGCACAGAGGTATATGTGCAGTAAGTTTTCTATTGTCCGCTTCCTTTCATCTCCCATAACACCGACTTAGATCTTGCTTGTAGCCCGACGGTGTCTTTCTGGGTTTTATATTAGGCAGCTAAATGATCTGCCAGATCAGCCTTTTTTCTTGGGTAAATATTTCTACGTGCCATGTGTGTTCTCTGGAAGTCCACTCTTACAATAAGCCAGTTTTGTTTTTAGTTCCCACTCACATCGAGAGATTCTTCAGTGGTCTCACTACACACACACAAACACACACATACTCTCTCTCCTCTCCTCTTCTCTCTTCTCTCTCTCTCTCTCTCTCTCTCTCTCTCTCATCTCTCTCTCTCTCTCTCTCTTCTATCTCTCTCTCTTCTCATCTGTATCTCTCTCTCCTTCTCTCTCTCTCTCTCTCTCTCTCGATCTCGGTGCTAGCTTTGTGGTGTACAAACCTTGCTCTCAGACGTAGCTTTCCAGGGATTAGCTTAATTAACGTTCTTCTTACAAGTTTAATGGCTCCCGCCAAAAACGCTTTTGCATATCTCACAATGTTTCCGCCATTTTATGAAGGAGGTTCACCGCACTTCCTATGGACGCCGATATTCAGGGAAAGTGTCGTTTTTGTTAGTGACTTTATTTTTTTATTTTTTTTTTGAAGAGAACACGGTTAATAAAGCAGAATTTGATGCTTTATATGACAGGGTGAAAGTGGTGAAGGCAGCCTTGATTAAGGTCACGTAATTGTCACTTTACGTGAGGGAGGTGCTGGGTTCTTTGAAATGTGATTAATCAGAATCCAGAGTTACTGAGTGGTCAGTTTGTTCAAAAGAAATTCCAGTAGAGAGTGTGTACCAGTAATCTGCATCACATTATACTATAGACAGACTCAGCCAGGTATCCAGGTAGCCACACCCAGTAATGGCATAAACAACTTGAAATTTTAATAACTCAAAATTCAGCTTCGATTAAAAACCGTACCAAGTCCTCAATTTCACCCTCCACTCCATTCCTTTTTTTTTTTTTCACACTGTATTGTTTTCTTATTTCAAGATCCCAAGACGAGTTAATTGCTGTAAACTCTATCTTTACCATCTGCGAAGAAAGACTTCGAACGATGTAGGCTGACTGGATGCAAATTTGATAATTTAATAACATAGCTAAAGCAATGGTGATAACTGATCTCAACTAAAATACATGAAAGTGCTTCTTATGATTGGCTTCAATTCTCTAGCATTGCGTGTTTTGCTCAAGGCAGCTTCATATTATTATATTATTATTATTATCTTCTGAGCCCTGTGTTCAAATTTCCAGTTAAATTAATATAATAGGGTGGATGGGTTATAAAGCGATGACTCTTAAAGAAACGCCCTCTTAGTGATTGGCGTCAGAATTTCATTGTTGAGTGCTTTGTAGAAGGACTTAGATTCATTTAGAAATATAGGATTTTTATTTCTTTATTTTATTTATGAATTTGATGGATTTAATTAAGAATGCATCAGTACGCTGGTTTCAGTCTTTTTAACGATGGTTAGTCATACTTAAGGCAAAAGTTAATTTTTATAGGCTATTGTAGGCTCCAATTTGTTAGTTATATTTATTAAAAGAGATTTGAAAGTTCATTTTTTTCTTCTGGAACACTAAAAATTTTGGGTTATCAAGCTGAAGAAATGAAAAAATACGCTCTTGATGTGGCTCCAAAACCTATGTCTAATTACTTATACAATTTTTTCGTTTTCTGTTTAGTACGAGACAATAATTAATAAATAATTAATCTTGAAAAAAAAATATTTTAAATGCTCTGGCATGAACAGATCCACTTAGCATGGTTTACGTTAAGACCAATCTTTGGATTCCGTAACAGTACATTGAGGCAAAAAACCCACAAAAGAACATATACGCAATAAACTCGACAAGTTTCGTACATTCAATGTGTTGAAATTTAAATCCGTCGAAATACCTTCTACCAGTGTCAAACTATGTTCAGCTCTAGCTCTTGGACCCCTTTATTATTAATTTTATGATGAATAACTAAGCCCAGAGGGGCCAAGCAGCATCTAGGGAATGTAATCCAACAAAAAGTCGGGCAGCTCAAGAATGTGTATGGAAAAATTCGTCCCCAATTACAAAGATTCTTCACGACTGAGACATAGCTCCGAAAAATTATATAATTGGTTGCATTAGAAACATATACTACAGTCTGTTCAGTTTTTATGTCATGGACTAAGATAGATGGGACTGGGGTACAGGATAACCCAGGATAACTTCCTCGGATTATTCAGACAGGAGGGGTTAAAAGATATCTTTCTCGGATCATAGAGGAAGAGTGAGCTGGGATTACAGGAAAACTTTCTTGGATCACTGACGTAGTAAAGGCTGGGTTTATTGGATAGCCAGTATTACCTTTTCTCAGTACGCTATAAGTAGAACGGGACTGATGTTGTTGAAACAAGTGATACCTTCCTGTCAGAATCAACGAGGTAGACGGGACTGAGGGATGCAATTAATGGCCAGGGATCGCACATTGGCGTAAACCATTTATTTCGTTTTCTTAACTAGTAGATCTTGCACCGTTTCTTTAACTACGTTGTTTGTGACGAAGGCCCTGGTGCTGTATTCATCAACGTACGTGTTAGTGGCGCTAAGCATTTTCGACCGGTTATGATGCCATCACTCACCCAATGAACTTCTCAGGGCAGCTGTGAGTTTGTGAGCCTGCTAATTCGTGTTGTTTCCATGCTGAGGTGTGTGTGTGTGTGTGTGTGTGTGTCTGTGTGTGGTGTGTGTGTGTGTGTTGCCTTGTTGTGTGTGTGGGTGTGGTGTGTGGTGTTGTGTGTGTGTTTGTGTGTGTTTGCACTCCTGTTCACATCATAAATTCACTTATCTTTAATATTCTTTGCATTTTTCCCCAGCTCACCCTACCTATCACCCTCCCCTCAACCTCCTAAATCATTCTCCCCATCTCAACCGTCCCAGTCAACCTCCCCATACCCTCCCACTCTAACTCTATCCCACCCCCCCTCCATACATCACTTTTTTTTTCCCCCCTCCCATACTCATTTCTCCTAAATCACCCTCCCCTACTCAAAACCTCAGAAATCACTCTCCCTTACTACCCTGACCCCACTCTACTCTCCCACTCTCCCTCACTCATTCACCCTCCCCACTAACTCTCCCTATTCACCCCTCCTATCATCCCTCCCCTACTCAACCTCCCCCACTCACCCTCTCCCCCTCCTCTTCTCCCCCCCCTCTTTTTTTCCCACAGCCCCTCCCTAATCCCCTCCCCACACTCATCACTCCCCACTCTCCCTCCCACTCATACCTTCTTACTCACACACTCCAAACTTCTCCTCATCACGCTCCCTTATGCACACCTCCTCTCTCCACAAATCCCTTCTACCCTCCCCATAACCCTTCCCAACTCACTCTCCCTAGTAGTCACCCTCCTACCTCCCTCCCCACTCACCCTCCCCACTCATCTCCTTACTCACCCTTCCCTACTCACCCTCCCCACTCACCCTCCCCACTCACCCTCCCTTACTAACCCTCCCAACGCACCCTCGTACTCACCCTCCCCAATCACCCTCCCACTCACCCTCCCCGCTCACCCTATTACTCACCCTTCCCTCTATCCCTCCCCACCCACCTCCCTACCCACCCTCCCCACTCACTCTCCCTTCTCACCCTCCCCAGCTCATCTCTCCTCGCTCTACACTATGCACCCTTACCCATCACCCTCCCACTCACCCTCCTACTCACCCTCCTATTTATTCCCCTCCTACCCACCCTCCCCACTCACGCTCCACTACTCACACCTCCCCACTCATTCTCACCACGCCCCTCCCTACTCACCCTTCCCACTCTACCCTCCCACTCACCCCTCCATAATCTCACCCCCTATTCACCCTCCCTACTCACCCTCTCTACTCACCTCCCTACCTCCCCAACCTCACCCTCCCCTACTCACCTCCCAACTCACCTCCCCATCACCTCACCACTCACCCTCCTACTCACCCTCCTACTCACCCTCCCTACTCCCCTCCCCAATACCCTCCCTCATCACTCCTCCCACTCCATCTTCCCACTCACCCTTCCACTCACCCTTCCTACTCACCTCCATACTCACCCTCCCCAATTTCACCTCCCTACTCACCCTCCTACTCACCCTCCCCACATCACCACTCCTACTCACCCTCCCTAACTCACCTTCATAGTCACCCTCCTCACTCACCCTCTCTTCTCACCCTTCCCACACACTCTCCCTCTCCTCCCGACTCACCTCCCTACTCACCATCCCCTACTCTCCTCCCCACTCTCCCTCCCTACTCGTTCCCGACTCACCCTCCTATCACCTCCGATTCACCTTCTTACTCATCCTTCCCACTCACCCTCCCTACTCACCTCACCACTCAAACCTCCCTACTCACCCTCCTCCCTTACCCTCCCACTTACCCTCCCCACTTACCCTTTCCACTTTACCTCCCCCCAACCCTCGCTTCCTACTCACCTTTCCACTTTACCCTCCTCAATCACTCTTCATATTCCCCCTTCCGATCACCCTTCCCACTCACCTCCCCACTCACTCATCCCACTTTTCCTCCCCACAATCCATTTCGCTCACCCATGAAGCGTTCCCTTCCCACCAATCCTTCCCACTACCCCCTCCCCACTCACCCTTCCCATCACATTTTCCCATTTACCTTTAAGCACTCACCCTCCCAACTTACCCTTGGCCACTCACCCTTCCCACTCTCCCCACTCACATTTCCCCGCTAAAACTTCCCCATTCCACACTTCCACTCACAGTCCCCGCTCTTCCTCTCCACCTAACCCTCGTTATTCACCATTCCATTTCCACCCCTCCCCTTTCACTCTTTCCATCACCACCTCCCCAATCATCCTCTCATACTCTACCCGCACCTCTCACACATCCAACTCAACCCTCCCTAGGCACCTCCCCACTCACTCTCACCACTCTCCCTATATAATCTCCCTTCCTCCACTTATCCTCCCCACCACCCTCCCTTACTCACCCTCCCCACTCACGCTCCCGACTCTCCTCCCACCTTACTCATTTCACACGCCATCCATACTCACCCTTCACACTCACCATTCCCACTCACCCTCCTCACTCAACTTCCCTACTAACCCTCCCACTCAAACTCACCTGGAGTTTACAGAGGAGAGAGTTCCGGGGGTCATCGACCCCGCGGAGCCGTCGTGTGTACAAGGCCTCCCTACGCTACCTCACCTCGCTCACCTTCTCGTCTCTCCCTTCATACTCACCCTCCTACTAGCACCCTCTCTACTCACCTTCCCTCGCACCGGTCCTTCTCTATCTGCCACCCCTCAGGGGGGGTCGCTTCACTCTCCATCGGTTCCTGACACACTCGGACAGACCGTCGCTCACGCACGTCGATCAGCCCAGTGGATAAGGCAGGGCGACTAAGGCCCTCGATAACCGCCACGTGCTCCGATATAGATCAGCCGTCGGCTCCGGAAGACCAGGGTACAACAGCCCACTCTTACCTTTCTCTGAACCGCCCCACCTCCTGTCCTACTCAACCTTTCCACTTACTCTCACTCTCCTTCTTTTTCACCCTTCCGACTCACTCATTCCCAAGTTCACCCTCCCCACTCGCCCTTCCCATTGTCATCCCCACACATCCATTCACTCACCCATCAAACTTTCCATCCCAACCCATCCTTCAACTATCTCTTCCCACTCTCCTACACTTTCCCATTTTCCTTCCCCACTCACCTTAGCACATCATTCTCCCACTTACCCTCACACTCACCCTTCCCAAATATCCCCACTCACATTCAACGCTCACACTCCCCAACTTCACACTGAGTACTCACAGTCCCCGCTTTCTCTCCACTCACCCTCGTATATGCTCCTTCCCATTCGCCTCCAAATTTCACACTTTCCACTCACCCCTCCCACTCTCACCCTCTCACGCACCCTCACCACTATCTCTCCACTCAACCTCCCCAATTCACACTTCCACTCACTCTCTTCACTCCATTACCACTTAACACACCACTCTCACTCCACTCACCGAACTCTCAGTTCCCACTCATCATCCGAACCCATCTTATCCATCCACCTTCCCCTTAACCTCACCCAATCTCCTCCACTCTTCATGCCCGCCCCTACACCACACCCACCTACATTCAACCTTTCCACTCATTCCTATCATATTCCCCGCTCACCCTCTGTACTTATCTTCCACATTATCATTACTCTCACCTCCCTCCTCAGCTTCCCACTCACTCTCTCACTCACCTTCCCATTTATTTTCCCCCACACTCTTACTAAACTCCACTCTCCAATTCGCCTGTCAAATCAACCTTATCACCCCTCCTTTCATTCTCCGTATTCAACCTCCTTTACACTCCACATTCATCCTATCCTTCAGGTCTCCCCATCACTCATATGCTATAATCTCCAACTCACTCATCTCTCATTCCTTTCCTCCCTCAACCTTTTCACTTATCCTTTTACTCAGCCAACCCACTCACGCTTCACATATCGCCTCTCCACTCACTTCCCTCATCAATTCCCACTCACTTCCAAACTCGTCTTACCACTCACCTTCCCTATCACCTTCCCTCTCACCTCTTTACAGGGAGAGGCGGGCAAGACGCTGGTGGTGGTGGCTTGGTTCTTATCAGCTGTCTTCGCTCTCACAGCCTCGTCTTCTTCAATGGAGGCTCCAGTTGTCGGTAAGTCCCTTCACTCACTTTACTCGCTCCAGTTGACTGTATGTCACCTTCACTCACCTTTACTCGATTCTTAGTTGATGTAAAATCACCCTTCACTCACCTTTACTCGCTTCAATTGAGGTATGTCACCTTCATGCGCCTTCGTACTCTCCTTTCCTCACTCCAATGGACGGTAAACTCGTTCTTTATTCACTTTTCCATTCACCTTCTCTAGATCAAAAAAGGACGGAAAGTCAACCTTTTTTAACCTTCAACCTCACCCTTCCTTGTCGCTACTAGTGGACGGCAAGTCACCTTCCTAAATCTTCACTCTCGCCCTTCCTCGCTCCAGAGTTCGGTTAATCTCCTTTATTCACGTTTACCCTCACCCCTTCGCTCCAGTCTTCTGTGTCACCTTCAGTCACTTCCTCGCTCCAGTGGATGTCGTACACCTTCGCTCACCTTCCCTTGCTCAGTAGACGTGTCACCTTCAAGTAACCTTTCTCGCTCCACTGGAGGGTAAGTCTTTCGTTTCATAAGAGGAGTACACTTCGGTAGGCCTATTGCCCATGCTTGGCAGGCCTAACTCCCACCAATCCGCATACTCATAGCCACTTCAACTTATTTTCACGCTTCCCAAAAATATAAGGTATGTCAATGATGGTAATTCGGGAGTTAGTTCCACTCTTCTGCATCTCTATTACCTAACCAGTGCTTTCTTACGTTCTTTCGAAAGATAAACTTTTCCAGCTTGAATCCATTGCTGCGAGTCATTTCAAGGTTAAATATTTTTAGCACGTCATTGTATCCGGTTTATTTATTCGTCCTTCCATTTACTCACCACAGTCATATCCTCCTTTAATCCTACGCCTTTCCAGAGAGTGCAGATTCAGTGCCATCAATCTGTCCTCGTGGGTAAGATTACTGGTACACGGGATCATCTTCGTCATTCCGAGTTATGAATGTTCTCCAGCATATTTATGTCCAATCTGTATTCC